AGATGAGTTTGAGCAGTTGTCGAAATACCAGAATAGGGACTGTCCTAAAAAAGAGTTTGTCCGGTGGAGAACGCAAGCGACTAGCATTCGCTACAGAGGTAAGGACCACGATTTTGAGAACCAAAATTTACAGTCAAAAGTAAATTTCCCAGATTCTGACGGACCCATCAATTTTGTTCTGTGACGAACCGACATCTGGACTCGACTCTTTCATGGCTTTACGGGTAATGTTCCATGAAATAGACCCTGCATTGTCTTATGGGCAGGCAGTTCATGATCGCTGATCAAAGGGGCGGGAACCACCAACCATTGTGCTTCGATCACTGCCCTCCTATTATCCTTTACTCTCTCGAAACACAGCAGAAGGCTCTGGTCGCTACCATTTTTATGCTGCCTCTGCATATTTGATTTTCTTGAGGTTGTTGTGGCACTGAAAACCTTAGCATCCAAAGGAAAAACCGTCATCAGCACGATTCACCAACCTTCTAGTCAAGTTTATGAGATGGCAGATAAGTGAGTATTTTTTACTTCTCTACATTTCATATCCTGGAAGAGAGAAGGGCGTGGCTGCGTTCTCATTCGAGCATGGTGTAGTTTTTGCTATATTTCGCGTTTTTCTTAGGACATGTTGCGCGATTTCTTTGAGACACTTTCATTTGAGTCATTTGGCGACATTTTCTTTGTGCTGAACGAATACATGATTACATTTGCCCCTAAAAGGCAGTATCCACTGCTGCCGTCTTCTAGAAGTACGCAGCCACGCCCTCCCCTCCTCCGAGATATGGAGTGTATTTCACTGACCGTAGTATTGAAGTGTTACGAAGTTTTCCTTTTTAGATTGATCCTTTTGACTCACGGTCAGGTTACTTATCATGGCAGTGCCGCTGAAGTTGGGAAATTCTTCAGTTCGTGAGTTGTAATGGTTTACTTCACGTGAAAATACTGTCTATATAAGGATCAAAGGGCTGCTGGAAACTCTGCTTCTAAATCGTGCAGCTGAAAAGAAAGCCAAATAAATGTATTGGCGGAAACACTTCAAAAATCCTGCTCCTCTGTTCATTGTAGATGCTGGGGCGTGTCAGAGGATTAGTTTAGCGTATCGCCAGACTGTTTTTCACCAATGGTTATCGCTGTCCTCTTCAACAAACCGTAAAGAGCGCGCCAAACCCACAATCCTCTTGACACGCCCTAACAATCCCAGCGAACGGGAGCGTAGGTGATCTGTTTCACCCCTTCTACAGGCGAATTTTTGTTTTTCGTCGGTCATCAGTGAGTTGGGAATGACGAACGAAATAGAAGGTTGTTGAACAGTTACGGGAAACGACTTTAATTATTTGCTCTTATTTGATCATCTTCAACTAACTAATGACTCTCGGGGATCGGCGAAACAGCGAAGGTTTCTCGGGAAAACCGAAAAAAACCATTTTTCCTTTTTGATTAGCCAAGACGGTGGGTAAAATCCGCATCAGCAGTCGCTGTATTAGCAGGGAACAGCCTTGGGAAAGTCCCATCAGGGGAGGGTCGCATTTGATCGCTGTGGAGGGGGAGGCCCAATTGCGTTTGAAGAAACTTCTTATGGTAGCATGAAAACTTTTCCTTGTACCGTTGTTGGCTTTTCCTCTCCTCCCTAGTTGCGACGCCACAAACTTACCATACAACTGCTATTTCTAATAGTCGGAATTACTAGTAGATTCGCTTTGCACCCCTTGATCGACAGCGACGGTAGTTTTTTGGTTTTTGGAACAAAACCGCGAAAAATTTTGGAAAGGTGGTAGAAATGGTGGGATTTTGGAAAACTCAGGATTATAAGTAGGCTAGGGAAGGGACGGGGATCTTCAGGTGTGTTCTCGAGTGCGCACATTTATCAAATTGAAATGAAGGTCCGAGAGAATTGATTCTGGATCTTTATTTCAATCTATTAAAAACTGAAAAGAATTTGGAGTGAAAGAGATCCCAGAATCCCTGGAATTCACATAGATTCTCCTGCGGGTAATGCCCTATCAACCAGCAATTCCATGATTTTCAGATGTGGGTATCCTAGTCCGAGGTTTACCAATTTACCTGATCATTTCATGAAGGTACTTTCTAAAGATGACGATATTTCGGAGGAGGATTACAACAATAAAATCAAAGTATGTCACACGATGCTGCGGTTTTCCGTTTTTCCCATGTATAGTCACGATCCCTACAAATGACGGGCGTATGGAGGGGGGTGAGTTGGAGCGCAGCCAGACAATTCTTTTTCGCCAGTTGTTGCGGAATCAGAGTGACATCATTGGTGGAAGAGGCCGCCTTGGCAGTGCTCCATATCGCACCCCGTCACACCCCCCATCGTGCAGGAATCGTGGCTATAGTTCCCAGGAAAGATTCAATTAGCTAAATGAACTAGGTAATTTAAGAATCTTGTGGAGTCGTATGAAACATCGGAGGAGGAGAAGATTGTTCATCGTGTGACGCACGCGTTTGTTGTGACCTCATCAGAAATGAGAGGCAAGCTTAATATTGGAGACGGTGCAAGGTGTGTTACAAGCGTAATATTTTTGTTCACAATAGGATAAAGGAGAATGGGTGTTGTTTGACCTGGGGGTGGGGAGGGGGCATTTAAGGGAGTCCTTGTAGGAACAAAACCGACTCCTCCGCACAGAAAGGACTTTTTAGTCCCACTTCTGCACACGGAGCTGTTGAAATGACTAGCCTCCACAGGGAATGGCACCGCTCTATGTTCTCACCCCTTTGCTGTCTGCGCCATGTACTCGACATTCGCGTGACATGATAAAGTTACTTGTGTGTGTTCGACTAGATAGGGGATGCCTCACGGAGCGTTTTTCCGCGGTCTTATCTGGAGATCCAGCAAGCAAATGGTCCCTGTGTGAAATGAACACACTAATAACCCTGTTGATCCCATTTTAAGAACTAGTCCATAAAATGGGACCAACATCATCCAAATAGCACTGTCATCCCTACATTGGTTAATAGCTCCGGAGCTCTTTCTTTCAAGCTCAGGCGAGTATCCTAGCTGGAAAAATCTCAGTTTCGCACAAGAAGTCCTCTGAATGCCCCGAGGTTATAAAGCCCAGGAATGAGTGATTTTGTGACAAACAGTTATATTTAGATACTCTGCATCGTGGATTGCTCAGCTGTGGTGGCTATTCATAAGGTCTTCTAAAATCATGGCGAGAGATTGGCAGGGATTTTTCACACGTCTTATAAAGACTGTTGTAAGTCACTCACTTACCTGTCATACGTGAGGTCTGACGATATTAAAGGGAAACCATGCTAATTGTAAACGTACTGCCTGCCTGTTCTGGGCACGTCGTATATTGGAGTTTCCAAGCGAGAGTGTCGTTGTTATCTGGTCGCTGGAGAAAGAGGAAAGGGTCGTATATGCCCTCGAGAAAAAAGTCTTAGGTTATCAGCTTCTACCGAATTTTCCCGTACTTGGTCTGGAAAGATGGTTTTTCGATGGTTGATTTCTTGTTTCAGGGACGTTATATAGAGGGGGTCGTATTTGCTCGTCGTTAGGAGGAAGGGGTTCGTACCAAGCCAAAAAAGGGAGGGGGGGGGGGTCCTACGGACGGACTTCAAAATCCCCAACTAATGATAGACGGCGCTTTCAAGGAGAAGTTGGAGACGTTCTGACTTCCATAAAAAGGAACTCCAGAAACGTGGTAGGAAGTTAGGAGGAATAAGGAAGATGGTAGGTGGGATAGGGGGTGGGGAAGAGGAGATGGTTCCAGAGAAAGGAATTGCGAAGGGGCGGCTGGGGTCTTATTTTGCAAAATTGTTCCTCGAAGGCAGGACGTGCTATGT